GAGCGTGCGTTACATGCCGCACATGCCCGAGATTAGGGATGTGTCGGGCAAGGCGCGGTACGAGGGCGAGACGCTGCATTTCGACGTGAAGCGTGGCAACGCGGTCAACCTCACGGTCACGGATGGCACGATCGACCTGACCGGACTGGACAAGCCGTCGCAGATGGCCGCGATCCGCCTGCCGATCACCGGCTCCGCGCAGGATGTCATCCGTTTCCTGGCGCGGCCGAAGCTCGGTCTGCCCAAGGAAACGCTCTACGACCATCGCCGTTTGGGCGGCAACGTCGCGGTCGACGTCTCGCTGAGCTTCCCGCTGATCGACGCGCTGACGGTTGCGGAGATCGACATCGCGGCGGATGCCCAGCTCACCTCATTCTCGTTGAAGGACGTGCTGGGCGAGGTCGATCTCACCGACGCCACCGCGCGGGTGAAGTATGGCAATTCCGAACTGAGCGTGGTCGGGCAGGGCAAGCTCGACGGCAACGCGGTGGACGTGACATGGCGTGAAATGTTCGTGGCCAAGGCACCGTTCCGCCGGCGCTACGACGTGCGGGGGACCGTGCCGTCCTCGATCGTCGAGAAGGCGGGCTTTCCCCTCGGTCGAACCTTTCGTCGTCGGCCCGATCGGCACCATGCTCCACTACCAGGTGGCGCCCAACGGCACCGGCGAGGTCTCGGGACGCTTCGACATGAAGGCGGCCAAGCTGGCCGTGACGCCGCTGGCCTGGAGCAAGGAGGCCGGCGTCGACGCGCTGGCGACCATGACCCTGAAGCTCGCAACCGGCGGCAAGATCACCACCGCCGACTTCGACGCCCGCGCCGCGACCCTGCAGACCAAGGGACAGGTCCGCTTCGGAGCCGACAGCAGCGTCCAGCAGATCGCCCTGCAGCAGGTGAAGATCGGCCTGACCGACATCGCGGTCGACTGGCGGCGCCATCCGGGCGGAATCGACATCGCGGTCCGGGGGCCGTCGATCGAGATGCAGCGCGTTCGCGACATGATGAACGCCCGCAACGAGGCGGCGACCCACGAGCCCAAGGGGGCGGCCTCGGTTTCGCGGACGAGCACCAAGGCGAACGTGCAGATTCAGAACGTCGTCCTGAAGCGAGGCTCGCTCGGCTATCTCAACGGCCGCCTCGAGTTCGTCGGCGACCGTGTCGCCTCGGCCGATATCACCATGGGCGGCGGGAGAGGGGCGACCTTGCGCATTGCGCCGACGGCGCAGGGCCGGTCGCTCGCCTTCTACGTTGCCGATTTCGGCC